GATTTTAGTTTCTCCGTTCCTGCTAATGGTCTTGTGTGGAGCATGTTCTTTGCCAGCTGGAATTGGTTGAATTCTGAGGACTTTGGCCGGTATAAATATGATAGCCTAGAGGAAGAAGGCATGGTGGCTTGGAGGAGTCTGAGGAGGACTGCTTGCTTGCTGGCTGGCTGACTACCTGGACTTCTGGATTTCCTGAGGACGGACACTGGCATTACCCTCCCCCCACAAAGAACCCTGAGACCCGACGCAGCAGGAAGAAGTGAAGAGGGCTACGTCCCCTTTTCCTTTCAACTCCCCCCCACCTCATCTGGGTCTGGGGGTTGGAAGGGAGGTATAAGCTTTAAGGAACCCCCACATAAAGTAGCATTTGAAAACCAGGGCCTACAGGTGGTGCCCAACGTGGAGCTTGGAATAACGGAAAATCTGGGCTCTAATGTCGTAGAGTAGACAGCAGGGTACAGAGAAACGAATATACTGTGTCAGGACACGAGAAAAAGATTTATTGTGGCTGCTACAGATGGTTTCTCTCTTGCTTTGCTCCCAGAAGGGGGCTCTAAGGAAGAAGTTGGAGATCTCCTGAAACGAAGATTGGACTCTCCCCAGGGAAACCCACGACCCTAACCAGCAGGAAGTAGCTAAGAAAAACTACTCCTCCTCTCCCCACTAACCCTATCTTTTTCTTTTACTTGGGTGTTGGAAAGGTTGGGTGGAGGAAGGAGAAAGAGACATAAGAAACATAAATAAAATAGACTTAAAAAGTAACGCCTACCACAGAGGGCCTCTGAAAGACTCTATCTAGCAGTGTATAAAAGCAGATATTAAGACTCATAATCAAACCTTTGGCAGAGAGCATGGAATCATATGAAAGAAGGGGGAGTTAGTAAGACCTGAAGAGGACAGGAGCTCTACAAGGACCAAATATATCAGGTCACGGGGTCTTTTATGAGACTGTTTCTTCAACCAAGGACCATGTATGGCTATAGCCCACAGTAGCTCAGTATCCAAGTGGGTTCTCTAGTAAGGGGAACAGGGACTATTTCTGACATGAACTCAATGGCAAGATCTTCGACCCTTCCCCCGCCCCCTCCGCCCCTGAGGGAGGAGCAACCTTGCTAGGCCACAGAGGAGGACATTGCAGCCAGTCCTGAAGATACCTGATAAACTAGGGTCAGATGGAAGGGGAGGAGGTCCTCCCCTATCAGGGGACTTGGAAAGGGGCAGGGAGGAGATGAAGGAGGGAGGGTGGGCTTGGGAGGGAATGAGGGAAGGGGCTACGGCTGGGATACAAAGTAAGCAACCTGTGATTAATATGAAAAAATAAAAAATATAAAAAAGCAACGCCTACAAGAACATCATCACCTCTGTCTTTCACAGCTGCTGAGAGCTGTTTCGGTCTCTTCGGTGTCTTGAAGTACCCAGTCAGTGGTCTGGGACAGCCACTGCTGCCTAGGTTCTTTATAGCATCCAGTCTCTGGGGCTAAGAGCCTCTAGGACACTCCTCCTCTTTGCTCAGAAGCGCCAGCAGCAGGCAGACTATGGAGACCCTTAGTTTTCCACCTGTGACGTGTACTGCCAGTCCTCCCAAGGCAATATAGAGGGAGAGGGGGCCATATGCGATACTTCTTAAAATTGTACGAGACGTTGTACAATGCATGGAATGTTGTATCATGCATGGCATCTTGCTGCTATGCTTTGCGGGATTGCTACGAAGTCTTGTAAAACATATTTGGAGCAACACTGCCACCTGCTGGTCATTACTCATATTGCATAACGTCTGTTTCCACCACACCTTTCGTTTCTACCCTGCTAACATTTGGTTTATTCCTTTCCTCCCATGTTTCAATACAAAGGTTGTTGGTTTCTTTTTTTAATTAATTACACTTTACTTTGTATCCCCCCTGTAGTTCCCTCCCTCTTCCCCTCCCAACCCCTCCCTTCCTCCCCCTTCTCCACACATGCCCCTCCCCAAGTCCACTGGTAGGGGAGGTCTTCTTTTCCTTTCTTCTGATTCTAGTCTGTTAGAGAGGTTTTTATTTACTGTGCTGGTGACATACCCACCCTGACAGGGTGGCAGAATGCCATCTGCGAGCAACAGGTTGCATCCTGAGGGAGACCAAAGCTGATGAACAGGAAATTTGACTACGGGTTGCTTTGACCTTGGGTCCCAGTATAGTGGCCTTCCCCTACTCTAGAGTTCTTGCTTTGCCAGAATATAAGCCTCAGTGACCGGGTGGATGCTTTTAGTGACAGTCCCTTCCTTCTCCAGGCCAGGTCCTTGTGCCCCCTATAGCACAGTGATTTTACTAAAATCATTGACTCCTCACTCAAGCCTGCAAGGTAACTAAAAGCAGGACAAATGTCTGGTGTCTATGCCTTCACTTTACATCTGTCTCCCAAGTCCAAAAACTCCATGACAGACTTCTGACTAACTCAGTACGCAGGCAGATTAGTCACTCAAGGAGTGTCTGTACAAAAACTGGTGGCACCTGACCTGTCCCATCCCCCATCACGACAGAAGGCACAGACGAGAGTGAACCCAGCACTCAGCCTTCACAACGTCCTATTCCAGATCCCGAAGGCACTCACAGGTCCCGCTCTTCACTGGCTCAGACCTGCAAGTCACCCCGGATTCCAGAAAGAGCAGAGCCTCGTGGCCAAGCCACCTTATCACGAAATTTCCCCTCGTGATAAGCTGGCTTGTCCCCTTCATCGAGAAGGTCTCCTTTGAACCCTCCCGTAGAACCAGAACAGGGATGGCGATCAAGAAGATGCCTGGCTGGGACTGCTCAGTTATGCAAACCTCTGGCCCTCCGCCCCACTCACACGCTATCTAAACCCAAGCTCACATCAATATCCTAAAGAGAGACGGACGTGGGGTCACCAACCCTGTCCTGTGCTTCCCAGCGCAGCTGCGTTGTCAGATGTTCCGTGTCTGTCCTCACTGCTCCTCATTTTGGGTGCACCTTTGGTCAGGTGAGCAGCAGAACTCTGTTTCCAAAATAACACCCTCTTGATCTGGAGCTCAACGTGCAAAGCAGAGCCTGGAGGGGAGCAGGCGGGATGCAGCTCTGAACAGGTCCTGAGCACTGGATGCCCGTGGCTCTGACCCTTCCTGCCCCAAAGCTACCATACAGGTGTTCTGGCTGCCACTGCTGCTGACCCCACCTCACACAGTACCCCCCCCCCATGACAATCAAGCCCACTAAAGCAAAGTTACATTGCTGACATCCTCCTAAATTCAAACCCCATATTTTCCCTCCTGTGCCTGGAGGACTTGATCATCCCATGTTTTGAGGGTTCTTGGGTGATCACAAAAGCTTAGAAAGCTTATTTTTGAAGGATTCATTTTATTTTATTATGTGTATATGTGGGTATGTGTGTCTGAGTGCAGGTGCCTGCAGAGGCCCGAGGGGTCAGATCCTCTGGAGCTGCACTTTCAGGCTGTTGTGAGCTGCCCAACCCGGGTCCTGGGAGCAAAATCCTTTGCAAGAGCAGAAAGCACTCTTAAGCACGGAACTGTCTATCTCACATTTTTACTTTTTAAAAGACTTGTTTATTTTATTTTACATGTATGAATGTTTTGCCTGCATGTATGTATGTGCACTGAGTATCTGGTGTCTATAGAGGCCAGAAGAGTGCATTGGTTACCTTGGAGTTATGGGTGGTTGTGGGCCACTATGTGGGTGCTGGGAATTGAACCCCAGTCCTCTGGAAGAGCAGCGAGTGCTTTTAATCACTGAGACTTCTCCCCAGCCCATGATTTTACTTTTAAGTGAAGATTTACGTACATGCATCTGTATAGCTTTTTTTTTTTTCTGTTTAGCTTTATATGCTAATTTTGTGACAGGTTTTGGAAGAGTGGCATTGTGCAGTCTTTCATCTATAAATATTAGGACATTTGAGTCAAGGGTCACAATATCATTGAAAACCATGTGCCTGTGCCTCTCTGCAGTCCAGGAATCACTTGCCATCTCTATAAACAAAGCACGGTGGTATTTTAGGAGGAGTTTTGTTTTGAAAAACATCTGGAATGATGGATGCCCGAGAGTGGAGGATCTTAGCAGCCACCGAGGATCTAAGAAAATGGCTCTTGGGCCTACATCCCAGCTGGGGAAGGGCTGAACTGTGCTTCCAATGAAGGGTGCTCATGACAATTTGTTAGCTAAACTTAGTCAGAAGAATATAATGATATTATGTATAACATAAGCATATTACGACATATGTGTGCATGTAAGTATATGTGCTTAAATGTGTAATGTGTGTGTATGATATTTTATATCATACAGCTTATATATCACATCATATACCATATTAAATATTAACGTTCAACAGCTGTGTTAATGTTAGTCATTATTATTGGCATAATTTAGCTTTATGTATTTACATACATTATGTGATATGTTTATGTGATACATAAAATGTTAACAAATTAATGATTGACAGTAATCAGTATATGACAGCTTCTATGGTATCATGCTTAAATAACATCAATGTCTAAGTTACTCTTGACAAATACAATTTAAAGTTCAATTTGTCACACATGGCGGCTGGTGGCTGCTACACTGGCTGCTACAGATCAAAGGTATTTCCATCGGACTGGGAAAGGCTGCCCTAAATGGTCGCGCAGTGCCGGCTGGCTGTTGGAGGCTGGCTGGGCGTGCTCCTCTGTAGGAGGTGGGGGTGGGTAGGCCGGAGGCTGCAGCATGCTTGGATACCATGAGGGTTTAATGCATTACAGCCTCTGCAGTACTGCTTAGCTGTCACCCCACAAAGCAGAGAAGCTATTGGAAGCGTGCCCCCAATTTTGTGTGGGAGCCACCCAGAGGCCTCGCCCTTCTGCTGTGTCTCGGCACCCTCAGTGGGAGGGTGAGGGCCTTGCACAGGGCAGCTAGCGGGTTAGGGCCTGTAAGGGACCCCACAGAATGGAGAAGACAGAAGTGCCAGCACTCGCTAGGAAAGCCTTTATTCCCCCTCAGCGACCGCGATGGCCGTTCTCACAGTTAACCCTCTTCTGGGACATTGAGCTTCTCTTTCACCCCACAGGCCACCACGGCGAAGAAGAACTCGGGGAAGAAGGTGCGGATGAACACAGCGGCCTTGGGGACCGGGTTTGCCATGAACACCTCTTGCTTCTTCCTCCTCACCGTGCGCATCACTTCCTCAGCCACCTCCACCGGGTGTGCGCCATAGCTCAGCTTCCTGCAAAAGACTGGGCACACAGGCCGAGGCCGGCCACTGTCAGTTCAAATCCCCTGACTAGGGAGACGCTTGCTAGCATCATGGTGTCCTGACACTCCGCCATCCTCTGTCCTCAACCCTGGGGTGCTACTTCACGGTCCACCCTTTGCTGCTTCCTCTGCTGCCCCCTTTCCTCCCTGGTGCCTTCATAGTGAAGGGCATGGGGACGAGCTTGGGCAACAAGAAGGTGAAGAAGACCCTGTCCTCTGTGATGTCCCTTGGCCAGATCCTCTGGTGTTCCTTGCTTTGTCCTCCAGCCCAGTTCATGTCTGTGTCTCAGTGCGGACCTCAAGCTTTGGGTGAGGAGCCACTTCTTTCCTTGGAGCATTTTAGAACAGTTTGCGTTCTCTGTGGCTTAGTACCTTCTTTCCGGTTTCCTAAAGGGAAGATGGGGCCAGCTCTGTGAAGGGTCTGACTCTAAGCTGTGGCAGAGGCGAGCCTGAGGAACAGACAGTCCTGGCTCGAGAGGCTCAGCCTCTGTTCAGAGCGGCCTCCTGAGGAAGAGGGAGCAGGGTGGCTCTTAAAGACCATGTGCTCATTGTAGCCTGCTGTTTGGAACAGAGCTGCAGCCATCTTTGTACTCAGCTTCCAGTTTGTTTCTAAGGTGATATCAAGTTCAAATTTTTAAACTTTTCAACTCTGCTTCCTGGAAACGGTTGTTCATAGCTGGCACTGGCAGACCCTGCCAGAGGGTCGAGCTCCTCTTATATTTTACTATGATTCAATAGTGGTATAACCCATGCTTTATTATCTATTTGCTCGGCTACACTCTGGCTGCACCCTTCTTATCTACACACCTGTCTACACCCTGGATGTACTCTGGAAGACCCTAAGCCCTGCCTCACTTAGGATGGATCAGCTTAAAGCTTAGCTGTAATACTTCGTCTAATTAGCCAAAAATGGGACAGACAGAATGTGTTACTGTCCTTCCCATGTCTTTTGCATTTGGTTCTTTCTATGAAAACGTTGCTGTGAGAACATGTAGATGTCACAGTTAGACTCCCCAGTCCTTACTGTGGCCCTGATCGATCAGCTTGGAAAAGGTGTTCCAATAAACCATCCGTATCTAACTGAGACCAGAGTCTGAGTGCTTTGTATGGCTATTTTTATACCACAACTGTGCTGGCTGTTTAGTCTGGGAAAAGCTGTTGAGCAGGGTGAGAGTTTAGCTCAGCCCTGCCAGGGTCTGCTGGCTGCAGTTTGGGTGTGCTCTCTACCTGGTCCCCCAGGCCTCAAGGTTTAGCTTCCCAACCCCCAGACTCGCTGTTCTCCTCCGAACTCTTACATTTACAAATGGATGACTCCCAGTTTCTTTGCTCAGGGTAGACGTGGTGGGAACGGATGAAAGTGGGGCTCACGGTGCTCACCACGACATCGTATTCCTCAACCTCAGCTCTGAGGCAGTCGAAGAAGCCCATGACGGCATGCTTGGAGGCTGCATCTGGAAGAGAGACCCGCCAGAGGTGGGTACAGGAAGGGCTCCTCTCTTGCTTGCCTGGGGTTGCGCTGCGGACAGGAGGGCAGACATACATCTTCCTCCAAGCTCAGAGCTGAAAGGGACCTGTGAGTGCCTGGGAGTAATCCGTTCACTGTCTCACTGGATCTCTGTCCCTGTTCTGTGACTCGATGTCTCCTTAATTTAAATCATCCCGAGCTTCCCCAGCCGAACACATGCGAACCTTCTTCTCATTGACAGGACACTATAACGACTTCTCCACAGCTGTGTTGGGTATTTCATGCAATCCAGGGATGATGGAGAGTATGTGAGAGGGTGCACAGGTGTTCTAAGCAAATACCATCTGTGGGGGGAGGGGGCCCTAGAACCACTGTGCCACGGATCCTGAGAGACCATTGTATACTGAGTGAAGGTATGGGGGAGCCACTGTGAGCACTCCCTGAAGAGTACAGGAGAGGCTGAGAGGTCACGTGACGACAGTAGGCCTCACAGCCGAAGGTGGAAAAGCACTGACTCCTGGCCTCCTGTCTCCTCTGCCTCAGGAGGCCCGCCCTCCGAGCTCACAGCACATCTAATCCCACTTTCCTGAAAACAGAGAAGTTTAAACCAAGGCCACATCTTCACACTACTAGGAGGGCTGAAATCAAGACGGACCACCCTAAGTGTTGGGGAGAGGAGGTAAAATCAGAGCCCTCGTGTAATGCCGGTGGGAATGTAGAGGGCATGTCCGCTTTGGAAACAGCCTGGGAATCTCTCAGACATTTAAACGTAATTTCTCTCCTAGGTTTGCACCTGGGGCAAATGCGAAGCCATGTCTTCACAGAAATGATTCACACATGTTCACAGAAACATTACCCATAGTTCCATAGTTCCAACAATAGATGAATAGATAAGTAACACATGGTATAGCCAAGCAATGAAGTATTGGCCATCGATTGAAAGAAATGCTGATGCATACTGCAATATTGTGCTAAGTCAAACATATATAAAAGCCAGTAATGGTCTGCATCGGCGGGTCAGGAGGTCCCACCTCTATCTGAGGATGTATAAAGTGGCCCATGCCAACATTTTCTTCAGTGGTATAACCACTTGCAAGTTACCCAAGCTCCTGTGGGTGACTGCTCACCCATTTCCTGTCATCAAGATAGACTAGGGTAGAACCATTCCTCCGGTCTGTCTTTGGCTCTCTATCTGTGCTCAGTAGGTCCTTGTTCATGTTTCCCAGGAGAAAATAAACACAATAGGGACATAGCAAAGGTAGGGATGTTTCCAAAATGTCCCCCAACAGGTCCTGGGGTGCACCCCTAGAGTCCCCTCCATGCCATCTCACACTTGGAGCCTCCTGTCTCCTGGGATTCTCAGTGGCGATAGCAGGCCTCAGATAACGCTCTTTGGCTGTTGCTACTACACAAGGCTCCACCCGGGGGCTCTGCTCCTCTTCTTTCCCCCTTTTTTCCTCAGAGCCGTCCCTCAGCCTCCTGTTTTGTGATGTGTGAGCATCCTCCTTGTTCATTTCAGAGAGGGACCGTTTCATAGAGGAGGAGGTGTCTGAGCTAAGACTATGCCTCTGTGTAGCAGAGTGGCCACACGCCTCCTGCAGGGTCACGCTGAAATGGCACGTGTCTTCCCACCTGTGGTAATGCACTTAGGGAGGAGAGGAACCCCCAACTCTCCCGGGGAGCTGGGGCATGAAAGAAATCCTCGCAGATGAGACACCCCCAACCCATGCGGTCCCTTGCCTAGTCTACACTTGACAGAGGCGCTTGCCCTGGCACAGAAGAGGGCCACCCTCTCTTGTCTTCGAGGCTTACAAGCTGTGCGGAACGGGATCCCAAACTTGCCCTGGATGTTGTTCACCAACACGATCTGGCCTGTCCTCCGGGAGATCATGTTGGGAAGCAGAACTGGAAAATACAAGGAGTCCCAGTTAGAAATCTGAGACAAGCAGGCTGCAGAGGCAGATCCCCACCCCGCCTGGTCTGTGACCCATGGCTCTGCCACCTCTTTGCCCATTGCAATTCCTGGTTCCAGGAATTCACTGGCCCAGTGTTTCCGAGAGAGACCAGTTGGCTGGCACATTGCTGGGTGATTTGAAATGACCTAGCTCTGTACTTGTTAAGTGACACAGAATTTGATAGTAGGTAAGGTCTATCTATCTATCCTGTCTATCTGTCAATCTATCTATCTATCTATCTATCTATCTATCTATCTATCTATCTATCT